TCCACCCTCCTCGGGCCCTGGCGTTGACCTCTAGCAGGAAACATCCTCCTGTGTAAACTCTTGCTTTAATTTTTGGTTTTTGGCTGAGTTTATTTCTGGTTGGTTGAGTTTTGTTTTGTTTTTTTTAATGCTAATTTTGCTCAACTGGAAAGTGTTGTTTCCTTTAGATCCTTTCAGATTAGTAAAAAATTCCTTTGAAGAGCCAGAGATGGCATCAGCAAAGCCCTACTTAAACCAAGCAAGTTTCTCTGGAAGGTCCTTGGTGACAGCAGCAGCTGGGCATCTGTCATTCCATGCCACATCCCCTGGGAATGGCCAGCTTGGTTTGTCAAAGGCTTTAAAGAAGCCAGAGCACACCTGATTTGTGTACAAACCCAGCAGCCTTGTGGCAAGGTGTGGGGCAAATAGCGAAGGAATTCACTGTTTTAATGGAAAAAAACAGTGGGACACCAGTCCATGTCCCATGACAGCATTTGGTGGGGATCCAATCTGTAATCAGAGGCCTTTGGGTTGAAATTTTGGGTTTGGAAGAAATATTCCCAAATTTGGCATTCTGAGGCTGCGACTTCTTTAACCAGAGGATTTTAACACAACCTGGTAATGAGACTTCTCAGAGGACAAAATAAGTGGATCAGAGAATAGGAGTGGCACATCCCAAGCTGAGAGTGGGATGCAGTCCCTTGGGAATAACACCCTGCCCTGTGGAAAAAAAAAAAAAAGTCCTTTTAGTTGAGTGGGTGAGTTTGAAAAGGGTGTCTGTTTTTCCTCTTCTATGGAAAGCTTTGCTCTTCCAGGTAAAATGAGGTATTAAACACTTGCTTTGAACTGGGTATGTGTGGGAGTGAGGTGCCATTCCAGCGTGGCCCTGTGTTTTCCTCCTCTGCTCTGGCCTTTGGAGCAGTGTCAGGTGTTCAGAGCCACCCTTGGGGCGATCCAGGTGTTTCTCCGAGGATTTAAAGGTCAACCTCTGGTGTTGAATCGGGAAGAGCAGGAGGCTGGACACGCCCTGCAGGGGGAGAAGCACATGTGATGATGAGCCAAGTGGTGGATTTTGTCACTGACAGAGGTCAGAGGAGAACTCCAGAAGCTGCTTGTGTGGACCGACAGCACGGCATCCTGGTGGAGCTCCAGGATGTGTGGGGATCCCAGTGCTGTTCCTGCCATCCTTTTTTCCAGGTTCCAGTCACAGGGAGGAAGGGGAGTGGGGTGTGTGTGATCCCTCAGAGCTGTCGCAACACAGCCCTGTGACTGGAGGTCAGAGTTACAAACACGTGTTCCAACTATTTCTTAAGGAAGGAGGAGCAGGGGAGTTTCCAGCTGCTTTTTTTTCTCTTCTGGAGGCTCTTGGTTTGCTGCCAGGCTTTTTGCCGGGGATTTAAAATACACCTTCGCTCTGGCACACACGTGCTCGAGCAAGTGATGCTGAAACAGGAGGGATTCTGCTCAGGGAACTCAGTTCAACTCGAGACCAGGCTGAGCTTTTTATAGGAAAAGAGAGAGGAGCGTGGTTTCCTCCGGACGTTGCTCTCTGAGTCACACGTTACATGACACAGCATTCCTCTTGGGAATCTTAATTGCTGGAGCTGATGAGCACATCAGCACTCTGGAATCTCCCCTTGTGTCATCAAACACACCTAAGCACTTAACCTGGCACTTCTGGAAGTTATTTTGATAATACTTCATAGATTTCAAACTCAACTGTTAAATGTTTTTTTGTATCCATCAGAACCCCATTAAAGTCAATTTAATGGCTTTTTTTTTTAAGTTCCAAAGCAACTGTCCATTGACAACCTTGCATTTAAGAAGCTCTAATGGCTATTAATGCTGTTATACAGGTGAAATAATCATTTTTATGTGTAATAGTAAATAGTCACGTTATTTTTCAGTAGGAAAGATATTTTGGGGGTGTCCACTGCATGCCTTTTTTTTTTTATTTTTCCCCTGGTGTGTATTTTTAAATCTTGAATAAAAAGGGCTTCATTGCCCATGGCAGGGGGTTGAAACAAGATGGTCTTTAAGGTCCCTTCCCACCCAAACCATTCTGGAATTCCCTGACTTCTGGACCATGAAGCAAATGTGCTGAAAGGTCTCTGCCAAAGCTGTTTAAAACTCTAGCAGCATCCTCGATTTTTTTTTTTTTGTACTTTCTCTGCAAAGACAGCTCAAACAAATTGATTTAAAAACTCAACTTGCAGCTGGAAGGAATAATAAACTCGCTGTAAATAATAAGCAACAGGATTTGTTTCCTTTGAGTGAGCAGGTAGTCACTTTGTGGTTAAGGCTAAATTGCTTCTCCCTGAAAGAGAATTTGTTCACAGCTTGGACTCGGTGGTCTTGGAGGTCTCTTCCAACCTAAATGTTTGTGATTCTGTAATCATGAGCAGTTTTTAATACTTGCATTAGGTTTTACCTGCCACCTTCAGTGCTGAGTTCCATCTGCTAATGGGTAGTTTCTTCACTGATGGGTAGGGAAAAAGTGGGCTCGATATAATCTGACTTGTTGTGATGTTTAGGTAGGTTTTAAGCTGTCCAGGCAGGGACAGCCTTTCCCCAGCAAGGCTTTTGAGGGGATGCTCTCTTGCCAGTGCTTGAATGATAAACATCAGTGCTGGAGCTTGGTAGTAGCTCTGTTTCTCTTCAGTGCCAGTAATCAGCCCCAGATCTGGTGTTGTGTCACATTGTTCGTGTCATGATGGGGAAAGGAGCGAGCAGGTCAACACTTGGTGACCATCCCTCCTCTTCAGGGGTTTTTGTGGTGACTGTCACTCTCCTGTTGAAGTGCAGTGTGGGAAGGTGGAGATGAAACAGAGCAACAGGCACTGAGCTGAGTGAGAGCAGCGCTCCCAGATATTCAGTCCTATAGAAAGAAAATGATGTCAGCAGCTCAGGCTGTCCTCTGTTTCAGCCCTTAGGCTAAATATGTCCTGGCTGAATTGTGTAGGAGGAAAAAAAAAACCAACCCAACCACCTCTTTGCACGTCCTGTGGGAAGAGTTCATTGTGTTTCTATTTGTTTAGGGCTTTACAGGGTGTTAGGTTGTATCTGTCTGGACACATGCAGCGTGGAAATGGCTCGTGGTTGAAAATGTGTTCCCAGAACTTGCTTTTAATTACCTGTAATAGTCGTCAAACTGTCCTCTGTTCTCCCTTCTGGCCCCTCCTGACTCGTGGGAAAACAGGGCTGGCTTTGTTACCGTGCCTTGAGGTCGCTGAACTCACACAGTCCTGCAGCAAGGGGGGGGAAATAATGCCGAGATAAGATCAGCTGGAGTAACAAAAGAGCGTTTCTGTCAAATATGAAGGCAGTCATTGTCAGAAGTGAGGCATTAGGTTGGCCTCTGTGCTTACCAGGTGACTTCTGCTGTCCCATGATGTGTGTGATGCCCCAAAGCAGACGCTGCACAACGAGGAATCCGTGGCCTGCAGTGTCTTTTCCAATTAATGCTTCAATTTCTTGTATCTGCCCTCAGTGGAAGGGATTTACAGAATTGGCAATGATGGAGTTACATCTCAGAAATCTTTAGGTAATGAGTAATCACCAGTTTTGTTCCAGAATCCCTCCTGGAAAGCAGGGCGAGGTCAGGCAGATGCATCTGTTGAGTGTTGCAGGGCTCACTTACTAAAAGACCCCTGGAAAAAGAGCATGGGGAGCTCACTGGTGGCTCATCCACACTTCCCATCTCTCCTCATATTTGCAATAAAATGGGCTGAGTTGGGCTTGACCATGGACCATTTTTAGGCTTCTGGACTTCATAGAGGAGCTAATGGTGAACACGTTGCATTGGATAACTGTCTGTCCCCATGTGTTAGGAACAAGGACGTGGATCTATTAAGAAAACCTGGAAAACTCCTTAAAAATCCCTGTCTTCTGTGTGACAAGATGATTGTGGAAGGATTTCTCTGCACAGCTGCTGAAAAGACTTTTTCCACCCCGCGTTTCTTCGGTGTGGCTCCGCAGATTCCTCGGTATTCCTGGCAGCAGGCTCCCTCTCTTGGGATGGAGTTCAGAAAACCTGATGCTGCTGTTTGTTCCTGCTGGTGCCTGTTTGTTTGGGGTTTTTTTCCATATGATTTCATCTATGGGGTGGGATCAGGCTGCTCCCTGAGCCTCTGACCTCACTCCTGGACAGGATCTCTGTTGCAGCCAGCGGGCTCCGTGCAGTCCTCGCTCCCGTGTAAGCTGCTGGAAAACACCCTGGCAGCGCTGCTCATCCCATCAGTCTTTCCAACAAGTGACTCAGCCTGCTCTGTGTTGTGGTTTTGTCCTCAATTACACGAACTCCCTGCTGTCCCAAGGGCAGTGGTCAGCAGATATCCTCTGCTCCATCCCCTGGGATGCTTGGCACAGTCCTCTCCCACTGTACCTGTGCAGGAAGCACCTCTGTGCTTCCAGTCCTCGCTGTGTTTTTTGGGGTAGGGGCTGGATACTGGCGATGCTGCCTGGCCAGGGAATCTGCTACTGGTGGCAAGCAGTGGGATATAGCCAGAAACTTTGTTGGAAGCTTAGGGAAATTCATTGGTTTCCTTTTAGTGTGGGGAAATACCACTTTTTTTATTTTTTTCTTGTTGTTGCAGAGGTTTTTTGGTTTTAGGGTAGGACTTAACATCTGGTCTTTATGTGTATTGGGAAAATGAATCCTTCCTCCCTGCACTGCCACTTTCAGCTTCGCAGTGTCATCGGGAGGCTTTCAAAAGTAGCACCGATTCGAGGCGTTCCTTGCACACGGCAGGGACTGACAGACCTGAATTTATAGGATAAATCCCTCCCGTTTTAGGTGTTAGTTGCTGGTAGGACCCCGTGCTGCTCTGAGGAGCTGCACCAGCTGGAAACTGCAGCCCTGTGGCCGTGCTGGCACTCCCAGCCACCTCCTCCTCCTCCTCCTCCTCCTCCTCCTCCTCCCCCTCCTCTCCCTGCTGACGCACAGGGAGGGTGATGCCAAGGAGGGATTTCGCTCGGTCGCCTCCGGTGCACCGCTCACCTCTCCCGCTTTCCCTTTCCAGGCGCTTCCCGGGGAGCAGCGGGAAGGGAAGCTCTGACGAAGCCCGGCCACGGGGAAGCTGAAAGGCAACTTTTGACGCGAGCGAAGGAAGTTCGGGTGAGATCCTCGGGTGAGATCCCGGGCTCCGCCAGCTGCTCTCCCGCGAAACGCTTCGGCTCCAAGAGGCTTCTCCGCTTCTCCCTCTCCCTCCTCCTGCCGGGAGCGTCGCGTCTGGCTGGCAGCTGGGAGGAGGAAAAGTTGGCTGTGCTGTTACATCCCCTGCCCGGTTTCCACGAGTGAGTTGCTCTCCGGCTCGGGATGATCCCGTTTTAGTTAAAAGGCGTGTTTGGCTGCTGCTGGAGGGCCGGGGGCTGTGTTTTGGGAGCAGAAGGACTTGGATACAGTAAGATCTGCAAAGTGGCTTTTGGGGAGTCGCTTGGTTGGCTTTTTGGTTGGGTGTTTGTTGTTTTTTTTTTTTTTTTCTTTTAAAGTGACAGTTAAGCTTGTGGTTTGTCTTGTTTACTGCTTGGGTTTAGTCTTAGTTTTTAGTTCAACTTGAGTTCGTTTTTTTTAAAAACCGGGACAGCAGTGAGTACCCCAGTGTTGTCCCCCAGAATTGTGTCCGGAGTCAGGCACTGAGGGTTTATGAAACAGTAAGAGCAAGAAGGTGTTTTAGACTTTCTGTGAGGTTTTGTAGCAGCTGTACCAAGGCAGTGCCACGTGACTGTGCCTGCCCTGCGTGTCACCCGCTGCCCAAAAACCTGAATGCTTTGCTTCTAGAGGAGGGTGGCCCTGGGTGTGGAGAAGAGCCCAGTGAGTCAAAGGGAAACCACAGAAATCCTCTTGGTGAGCTGAAGGTGCTGCAGCAAGAGGAACAGCCCTTTATCCCTAAGCTTTGCCTCGGATATGCAGCAGAGCCTTTCCATGGGCTGTGATCCTATTTGTGTGTTTCGGGCACAGCCGCCTTTCCTTCTCATCCTAAACCTCTTTGGAACACAATGCTTTAATCTGGAAACTTTCTAATAGACTTATAGTGATGAGTCATTTATCTTTTTTTTTTTTTCTTCTGGGGAAGGAACTAAACAAACTGCTGCAGTAACACATCTTTGTGTGTTTTGGATACGTATATTTGTGTATATGCACACGCACCAGAGCTACTCCAGGCGTTGGTTTTCAGTCTCTGTGTGTGCATATGGGCATGTGTGTCCATAAAAAAAATGTTTTTGTAAAGCAGGATGGGGTAAGCAAGCTTAGAGGAGTATGAATTTCTTCCTGCTCTGCCTCCTTCGTTTGTGAGTTGATTTGGTTACGCAGACAAAGGCAGGAAAGCAAACCATAACAAAACCGCTCTTATCAAAACTAATCTGCTTACAGCGCTGTCAGGTAAATCATTAACCCACGGACCAGGTGCTTGGAAAAGCTGCTAAAGAGGTTTCTTGCCCCTGAAACTCCTGTTTTCCAGGAGGTAAGAAGTGAAATTGCTTGCAGGTCTCGGTTTCGTGTGTGGGTGTTTGCTGCTGCTCTGGTTTCTGTGCTGGTTAATAAAGTCACGTTGTCCAGTGGATTAATGATGGGAGAGGACTTGCTCCCTGTGCTCTTTTTCCTGAGAGAGCAGCTCCAGCTAAGGCAAAGGGGAAACATAGCATTCACTTACCTGTAAATACTGTAACTCATTAATGAAACTTGATTTTAACTGGTTTATGGCTGATGGGCTGGTTTACTCCCCGGGTTTGTTTCCCCGGATCCTGTGATTCAAATCTGAGCTGGGAAGATTGGCTGTGGGTCTTGCTGTGCTCAGTTCCACACCAGCCTTCTGTTTGGGCTGGCTTTTGTTTCTTAGGCACGTAAGAAATGGATTTCCCTGTGGTGTTTGAGTACTTGGAGTCTGCAGAGTCCTGTCTGTGTTCGCTTCACGCTTTGATCGATCGTGTTTGCAGTGAGTCGACTTCATGCAAGTAACTTGAGCTATAGAAAATATGTAGCACATGAAGAAAAGCAAAAGTAGCTTCATTTGTGATATTTGCAACCATTGCCTGAATTAAAAAAAAGAAAAAAAAAAAGGGCTCAAGAAGGGCTTAAGCTATTCTAGGTAGCCACGTCCAAGAGCATGACTCAAAACTTCCAGCTGAACTCCGAGCTCCCTGAATCAGCGTTGCAGTTGTGCCTTGCCCTCCCCAAGCTGTGTCTGTGTAGGTGTCAAGCTCTCAACCTGGCTGTCTTATCCACAGGTCTGCCTGGTGTCCTACAAGACTTTCTTTCTTGTCCTGCTGGGCATCTCAGATGGTCCTAATAAGACCTTTGAGAGCAGAGCTCAGAAGGCTGGACCTCCCTGTAAAGAAAACCTCAGCCCCCAAAGCTGCTTGGTGCGGTTCTGCACAGCCTGTGCTCTGTGTGCCCAGCTTTCCAGCCACCTGGGAAAGCTCCAAATTGCTCTTGCTGCTCAGGAAAGTGCCCTTTTTGCTTGGTTAACTTTACAGCCTGGCTGCACATTAGCTTTTTAAAGCTGAGCTTTTTAAAGCTGTTCCACCACGTGAGGGTTTGCCGTGTGTCTGGGTTACACCTAATACCAAGCGCTTGGGGGAGGAGATACCCAGACCTGCAGGAGGAGGTGAATCCAGACCTTTCCCCCAGAGGTGTTGAGTTTGTGGAAGCAGATCTCTGCACTGGGGACACCCCAGCCAGTGCTCTCAAGTGCTGTTTCAGATGGTAAACGCTGGCCTGCAGAAGGCGGAGTGGTCCCTCCCTCTCTGGCCTGGGCAGCCAAGTCCACTCTCTGGCTCTTTGTTTAAGCCTCTCTCCTTTCAGATTTTAGGGACAAGACGTGCTGATTGGGATCTCAGCCAGTTTAGTTGAGCCAGGAGAGCGATGGGCCTTTAGGCAACCAGGTTAACCACACTGTGTGTTCAGTAAGAGCTGTTGTGGCCACAGAGGACAGGGAGAAGGGACAAACAGCCCCGTTCCCTCTCCGCTGCCTTGGGAGTGTCTCTGCTCCCCCTGGTGCACTTGCCTCTGGCCTGGGGATGACTTTTTGCCGGGAAAACTGGCCCGATGGAGCTCTCTGTCTCCAGCTGTCTGCATGGCAGAGAAGGTGGGGGGTGGGGGGGAGTGGCTCTGGTTAAAAATAGAAAGGCAGATTAGGAAATTCGAGGTAGGGTTTCAACACGCGGCCGAGCTGCTCTGACAACTCACTGCTGCCATCGAAAGGGGAAGGACTGGCTCCTGCCTCCGTGCCTGCGCAGCCGGCGGAAAACCAGGAAAAGAGCAGCTTTTCCGCCCGGGCACAGCAGAGGAGCGTGGGGGATACGAGGCAGGAAGGAGGGGAAGCCTCTGGGAAGCTCTGCTGGTGCAGGTGAGAGAGTCCAGGTGCGCTGGAGCTGAGTTCAGGTGAGCGGCGTGAAAGCCTCCTGTCGGAAAGGTCGGGTCTGAAATCACAGCCCTGCTCAGCTGAGCTAATTCTCAGTCTCCCCAAGAAGAGCCTTAAGGAGATTTACTTTGCTGCTTGGATTGTTCATGTTCATATTTTATGGGGAGAGTTCTACTTGGGGGGGAAAAAAACCCCCACAGAAATTACTGGGGGAGTAATTCCATTTACTGACTGCGAACGTCCTGCTCGGTAACGCTGCGCTCTGGAAAGAGACTTTATTTTGCAATAAGCGTGTGAAGTGTCAGGAGAAAGAGCCAACAGACAAGCCAAGGGGGTAGATATCTTGTGCTGTGGAAGCTGGGAGCTTTTTAAGTGTTGGGTTTAGGAAGCGGGCACTGTACAGTGTCTTGTCAGCAGCTCTTCAGAGTTTATCACTATTCCTTGTGGTTATCGCTGGTCCTTGTAACTTCTGCTGTATTTTCTGTTGCCTTCCCTAAAACAAGGACAAAATCCAGTTAGGAAAACCATTCTTTGCTGAAATGTTTCTTTCCTGCTGCCTTTTTTTTTTTTTTCCCTTTGGTTTTAGGGGTTTCAGTTCATTTTTATTTGCTTTCCCTTTGTTTTTAACTCTTTGTCAGCCTTGAGAGCAGTGGGAGTTGTCCTGCTGCTCCTGTTGTTGTAGCACTCCCATCATTAACCAGAAATCCATCCTGTTCAGTGTTCGGAAAGAAATATCCAGGGGGATTTCAGATATCCTGGATGTGTCATCAACATAACTAAAGAACATTTAGCTATGTAATGTTTAGTTCAGGAAACCTGTAACAGCACTTTTCCTGGGCAGATAACCTGAAGACAAACAGCCCTTACTCTTTTCAAGGGGCTGTGGGTATGAGCTATGGATAAAAGCCTATCCAGAGCTCAGTGGAATTTACTGTCAGGTCCGATTTTACCTTTACCTGGAATGAGTCTGTCTTTTAAAAGTGAATTTAAGAGCTGAAGTTGCTCTTTCAGCCTCGGGACAAGAATCCTGAAGACAAGCAGGTGGTTTTACTGAGTTCTAAGTTTCAAAATGCTTCAGCATGATTTCTCATGGATTACTGGGCTGCTTTTCATAACCAGGAGTAAAAATTCAGTGGTCCCAGTGATATATATATATATATATATAAACACTGTTTCATTGGTCCCAGTGATAAATACTGTTTTCTTGTGAATTTGAGATCACTTTAGCAGTCAAGCAGATTTTTCACCAGGAAGGATGGACATGGACTGTTACAGTTTATTACCTTTTTGAAACCAAGAAGCTGAACCCAGTTGACTCCAATTTATATTTGTGTTGGAAAAGCTGACGCTTTGGAATTGTTGATTTATTAAGCATCAGGGGTGAGGGGGATTTAGTAGGAAGGCGACCAGCCAGTGAGTTTTGGTGCAACTTTGATTTCAGTTTCTTAGACTTCCCAGCTCTTTGGGTTTCTTCCTTATTATTTCTAACTCCTTTGGTGTTTTGAAATTTTCCCTTTTCATCTCAGCCACCTGCTTTGCTTTGGGGACGCTGGTTTGTCTGTTCCGAACTGGTCACACCCCACCTAAATCCTGGCATTGTTCTGTAACGTGTTTGGGTGTTGTACGTGGGTTTAAAGCAACAAATAAGAACAACCCCAGGCAGCAGCACAGGCTGGACCTGCTGGAGAAGGACCTGGGGGTCCTGTTGGGCAACCAGCTGTGCCTGCCCAGCCACGTGTCCTGGGGACAGGGAGGGCAATGGGATTCTGGGGGGCACCGGGGGGGCATTGGAGCAGGGCAGGGAGGGGATCCTGCCCCTCTGCCCAGCCCTGGGCAGGCACATCTGCAGGGCTGGCCCAGCTCTGGCTCCTCAGCACAGCAGGGACAGGGAGCTCCTGGAAGGTGACTCCCCTCCAGAGATGCCCAAGGGCT